GGCCAACCCCAGGCCCCTGCCAAAACCAACCCCCTCCAGGACTGCAGACCTCACAGACAAAAGCACTGCCTTGCCATCCAGTCCTGCCATGCTGCCACCCACAGAAGCCCCCCAGGTAGGAGGCAGGAGCCCTTCTCACCTGCTAAAAGGGGCTCGTGGCCAGGTTTGAAGCCAAGCGATGATGATGGGAAGCCTTTGGGGTTGATCCGTCCTTAGGCAGTTGCTCAGAGGGAGATCAAGCCAAGTTGGGTTCTTTCCAACTCTGCAGAGTGGAACATTTGAGGAGCTGGAGAGGGGAGGTTAAAGGGTGGGGGATTTAGCACAGGCAGAGCATGGTGGTGGGGCTGGTGTGAGAACTGATGGGGGCACCCAGGGGTGTGCCAGGCGCCCCCGTTGTCCCCGGTTCTGCCTTGCCTAGCTGCTCCACAGCAGCTTCCCCAGGGAGGAGGGGAGCAGGGCTGGGAATAGCACTGCCCCATGGGGAAACCACAGCTTTCCTCTGGCTTTGGTGTCTGGGGTCATCGTAATATTTCCCAACTTGCAGCCCATCAGTGGGAGACCCAAATGCTCCACAATTACAGCTTGACGGTGCATTTCCAGCCCGTCGGGTGTCCTGAGCAGGGGATTTAATCCGCTGATCCATCTCTCATTCAGAGCCCCTCAGGGGCCCTTTGAAAACTGCTTTGACTGAAAGGTGGAGTGATTTGTCTAAACTAGTCCCTCTTTTCTGTGTACATATATGTATGCATAGTGCTCTGGGCTCTTGCTGACCTTCAATTAATCTCTGTCATAAAAACGCCTGCTTGTGGGAAGCAGTGAGCCACGAGCTCGCGTCAGGGACAACTTGACATGGAGAGGGCTCCTACTCGCCCACCGCGACTTCAGCCCATCGAGCTCTTTACCCATCCCAATTTGTAACGTCCCAAGGCACCCATGGAGGGAGCCTTGTGCCCCACAAAGGAGGGATCCCAGGGAGGTTTTCCTCAGGGATGCTCGGTGTGGTCCAGCTCAGCGTGTGGTCACGGAGCAGGTCAGACTGTCGGGACAAGAGGGAAGGTCAGGGGGCATTTGGCTCCGAGGGAGCTGCAGGTGTGGGGATGCGCAGGAGGCAATGAATAGGTCAGGGTTGGGCTGGAGGGGGATGGAGCAGCTTCATCTGCCTGGCCCCTCTTTGCGATCCAGGCTGGGTTCACCTCCTTGCCAATGAGACTTGGTCAGGGACCACGGCAGGGTGAGACCATGGAGTCCTGGGTGAGAAGGAGCCGTCTTCCTGCTCCTGCCTTGTGCCGCAGGGCTGCAACCGTACGAGCAAGTCAAGGGGAGAAAAGAGAGAAGGAAGGGACCTCCCTGGGGCTCATCTGATGGCATCCAATCCTTACATTTGCTATGTTGCTGTAGCACAAACAGTTGCATTGCTTCATGTCTAGCAAGGAGGCATCTGTGAGAGGTTTCAGCCAGCCATCGGTCTACGCTGGGGACAGAGAGCCCAAATGAGGGGCTGGGCCATAGGGCTCTCTTTAGGGGAAGCTACAGGGAACAGGTGAGAGTTTGTGCATCTCGAGGGCACCTGGGTAGGGGACAGACAAGAATGGTCCAGCTCAGCCATGGTGGCCTCAGCCTTTTGGAGACCATCAAGTTGTGGGGTTGTGTTGCTTGCTGTGATATAACTGTCCACTTGAGTGACACAGGGAAGGGCCACCCCAATGTTATCCCCCATGTTCCCTGCTGAGAGGGCCACCCTTTCATTGGTACTGTGGTGTCCTTCCTCTGGACACATCAGAGCTGCTGGAGGCAGGATCCACCCTTTGGTCCTTGTCCCCTTCTCCATCTTGTCCTTTCTCCCAGATGGAGCCAGCAGAGGTGACGACAGTCCTCGACAACGAGCTGGAAGTCCCGGTCAGCAGCGGCCCCAGTGGGGACTTTGAGATCCGGGAAGAGGAAGAGACAACTCGTCCCGAGCTCGGTAATGAGGTGATGGCTGTGGTGACACCACCATCAGGACCCGGGCAGGGCAAGAACGTGGAGCCAGGGCTGATCGACAACACGATAGACTCCGGTAACTCGGCCGCTCAGCTCCCCCAGAAGAACATCCTGGAGAGGAAAGAAGTGTTGATAGGTGAGACCGGAGGCCGTGGGCTTGTGGGGAAACACTGGTGTGTTTGCAGGGAGGCGGGGGACAGACAGTTGGGTTGTCCATGCCCCAGGAGAGGGGTTGGTTTTTGGCAGGGCACTGGGGTAGTGTCAAGCCTGGGATAACCCACACTCCCCTGCCAAAATATCTCCAGGGCCTGTGCTGGGCGGTTCCCTGGGGCCTTCATATCTTTGCCAGGAGAGTGCAGAGCTGTGTACAATTTGCTTTTGCTAAGATGGGTTTCCAGGAAATAAAAAGGATGTTAGTGGAAAGATGTGTTGTGGTGCTGTCTGAATACCACTCGGTCACCTCTGGCTGCAGGGGAAGAGAGAGGTGCCCTGGGAGGCCCACTTGTCCCCATCAGAGGGACATCAGAGATGGGGCAGACGTGTCAGTGTCCCACTGCCAGCTAAAGAGAGCTGGAGGCGATGGCACGGCAAAGCAGCTCTTGTTCTGGTGGTCTTCGCCTGAGTGTGGCAGATGCTGGCAGGCACCCAGATGAGCAACTCTTTGGGGGACTTTCTGCACCCACCTTGCATGAGGTTACAGCCTGAGCAGGGACCTCCCTCTGGGCCTGGGCTGCCTCCTGCCAATCCATCGCCCACCGTGCAGCTGTAGAG